GATATGGAAAATGAGTGGCAGCAGAAAAATGGGAAAAGGAAGACCTGTGTGCCACAGACAACTGGGGATGGCGAAAAGGTGGGGCTTGTGGGGAGAAGCTTGAGTGTCCCCCTCTTCTCTGACACTAGGGGTGGGGGGTTGCCAGTTAACCCCATGTGGACCACACACCCATCCATTCAGCCCGGCACCCCCAGCCTCTGGCTTCCAAGGGCTGCCCTGGACTCTCGAGCCAGGCCAGCGACCCCTCATTAATCCCTAACATGGACCATCAGCTCGGCAACAAGTCCACCTCCCTCCTCTGTGCCCAAAAAGCTGCCACCCTCTCCGAGGAACCTGTCTCTGCTGAGGCCGTCTCCCCACTAGCCTCCAAGGAGCACCAGAGCTCCCTGCGCCAGTCGCTCCCTCCCAGTCACCTCCTCATCCCTGGCCCTTCAATCAAAGCAGGAGGGCCTGAAATGCCACAATCACTCTCACGTTCTTCTGCTTCTTCTACATACTGGTCTCTGACAGGTCCAACTCAGTCACCTAATTGTAATTTCTTTCCTTAAGTTGGCTGATTTGTAAAGCCTGTGTCTTCCTCTAGACTATTAAGTAGCTCCCTGACTCCTAAATATTATGTTCTAACGTGGCCTTCCCTTGGCTTTCACCTCACCCCAAATGCTCGAGCAGAGTTCACTTATATGGTCAGTTTAAACAGCAACAGTTTATAACCATCCTGAAGTGAACGGACTTTCACCTAAGCCTTAGGTCCTAGGACACCTGACTTTTTAAAATTAAACATTGCAGGAGCATCTCTCAACAGACAAGTCAGACTAAGGACAAGTATGACACAGCAGGCACACCAAGACTTGGGCATGTAGAAAAGTTTCTGTACATCAGTAAGCTCCCACAGTGCCCAAATTCACGGCTGGGAGGTCCCAGGCAACGTGCAGTGAGGAGGGAGGGAGCTGTGGGGAGAAGTGCCGGGCCTGCCAGGTGAAAACATGGTAGGGAGCCCTACCAACAAGGCAGATCTCTAGAGCCAATCTGGAAAGTTATAGCACAGTAATGGGGCAGGCTCACTTCTTATTAAAACCAAGAAAACCTATAAAATGTGGGGTCTGGAGGGCCGCCTCCAGGGACTGCCTGCTTGTGGGAGAAGGAGGGTTATCAGAGAAGAGGATGGTCACTTTGTACTCCGTATAGTTGGGGACTGCTTGTATTGTCTGCCAATGAAAATGTTCCCCTGGAGGGGCCCCTCAGACCCCTGGAAGGGCCTTTGCTTTTTATGCATCAGAACCTACCTCTGTAAACGCACCTGACATGCATTTACAAGCACAAAACGGACACATGGTCTCCTGGGAGCGGAAGCACACCTAGGTTACAGGTGGGAAGACCCGCCCTGACGGTCTATGGTCCAGCGCTGCGAACAGGACTAGCTGGGGGGCTGGGTCTGTCCACACCCACTGCCTCTCTCAGATCAGATTTCAGGATGTGGCTGGACCGCGACAAACCTCCGGCCAAGCTTCGCTCCGGCAAGCGAGCGTCGCTTTCTTCAAAATCCCAACCTGAGAAATACCTGCGACGGATCCGCACGGGTGGGAACAGCGACCCTGTGGGGTGGGCCGGCCCTCAAGCTCGGAGGCAGCGCCCGCTCGGCCGACTCGCTCTTGGCCGACTACAGAGGGCGCGTAGCGAGCTGCAGACCCAGGCTGTCCAGCCGCGCCGCGGGGAGGCCAGTTCCCACGGGGGCGGGGCTGGGCTCACGTGACCTGGACGGCCAATCGAGGCCCGCGCCGGGGAAGGGGCGTGCCCGCCAGAACAAAGGGCGCCGCGAGAAGGAGAACCTGGGGCGCTAGCACTGAGGTGCCTTCCCGGCCACCGGGTGCCCGCCGGCGGAGGGTGACAGCGGGGTGGGGTGGTGGGGGGATGTGGCGGACGGGGAGGGGCCACGGAAGGAGGGGTGACAGAGAGAGGGGGAGGGTGACTGCGCACGGAGTAAAAGGGGTGACAGAGGGGGTGCCCATGGGGAGGAGGAGATGAGGGGGCTACCCAGAGATGACAGCTGGAGTACTCACAGGGGGTGGAGGTGACAGATGGGGAGGGGTCACTGGGAGGAGGGTGACAGTGAGAGGGGAAGGGTGACGGACTGGGGTGACAGCGGGGGAGGAGAGTGCCTGCAAATGAAAGGGGGTGACAGAAGGGGAGGGGGCCGCAGGAGGAGAGGTGACAGCAAGGGGGGAGAATGACCACCTGCCTAGGACAGGAGTTGACATCACAGGGGTGCCAACCCTCTTGGGGGTCCCACCCTCCTGGCCACGGCTCAGCCCCACAGCGCCCCCATCACGCTCCAAGAACTTGTGCTTATGTCACCTGATATTGGCTGAAGGGTCTTTGGTCTCTGATACATATTTATGATTTACAATAACAGGTTGGTAGTACATATGCCCAAAATAGACATTTCAAGAACCAATGAACTGAAATAAAAGGAAAGCCCTTTCCTTGCTCTGAAAAGTAGTATCTACTTACAGATTCCATGGCAACCCTGCACGAGCTAGAATATGTAATTCAACAGGACAAACTCTGGGAAAGTCTATCTCCTGTGGAATGAGTGGTAATTACTAAGGAGAGATTCTTAGGGGAGATGTCTGGCCTGTCAAACACTTCCTATGGGGCTGAAGCAAGTCATCTCATGTGCTCACTAAAAGTCACAAACAAAATCTTTAATTAGACACGTGTACTTTCATACTGTGTGTACATGTACACAGGATGCACCCAAAACAGTATCAAACAACCATCTTAGTCCCATTCTTCTCAATGATAACCTGCTAACCTGCATGCTATCTGGACTATATGTTAACTTTTTTTTTTTTTTTTTTTTGGCTGTGCCATGCGGCTTGTGGGATCTTAGTTCCCCCACCAGGGACTGAACCTGGGCCCTCGGCAGTGAAAGCCCAGAGTCCTAACCACTGGACCGCCAGGGAATTCCCCATGTTAATGTTTTTGCAATAAATAACTGTAATATTTAATTAATATTTGAGTCCAGCTTAAAATGACCATCCACAGGTAGGTGTCCACTGCAGCACTCTTCATTCCGTAGGAACTGGACCCAACCCTGGATGTCCAGCAATGGGGCCAAATCCATACCAGGACATTCAGACTCCAGAACCCAAAACAGCTGTTAAAATATGCTTTCTTTCTGGCACAGTGGTTAAGAATATGCCTGCCAATGCAAAGGACACGGGTTCAAGCCCTGGTCTGGGAAGATCCCATATGCTGGGGAGCAACTAAGCCCGTGCACCACAACTACTGAGCCTGTGCTCTAGAGCCCACAAGCCACAACTACTGAGCCTGCATGCCATAACTACTGAAGCCCGCGTGTCTAGAGCCCATGCTCCGCAAGAAGAGAAGCCACCACAATGAGAAGCCTGCGCACCACAACGAAGAGTAGCCCCCGCTCTCTGCAACTAAAGAAAGCCCTCACGGAGCAACGAAGACCGAACACAGCCAAAAAATAAAATTAATTAATTAATTTAAAATATATATATGCTTTCTTTTCATGCATTAAAAGCATCACCAGTAAGGGGACTTCCCTGGCAGCCCAGAGGTTAAGAATCTATGCTTCTACTGCAGGGGGTGCAGGTTCGATCCCTCATGGGGGAAACTAAGATCCCACATGCCATGCGGTACAGCCAAAAAAAAAGCCAAATAGTCCAAATAGTCCCCCATCCTGGACTCTGGAATGGGGTCAGACATGCTAGGTGACTGGATCCCTGCACCAGGGTCTCAGCAGTGGCCCCTGGGGGCAACTCAGGACTTAAGGTCCAGAGAGGTGACTGACGTGGCCAAGGGATATGAGGGACCAGAGGCCAGGCCTTAGCTAGACAAAAATATCTCTCTTCTGCAGACCCATTTGCAGAAAACAGCAGCTCAAGATGCAATTAAATAATGCATTTTTAAAACTTCATAGAAGTATAATACCATCTTAACCAAAGTGGAGCTGGCTACATTATTTCCACAGGCTCCAGGCTGCCTTAACAACAACCCTATTTAACTATCTGGTGTTCAATTAAAAACCTTTCAGGAAATATATAAATAGGTCAAAAGTTTACTCCCTGACCTAAGCATTTTTGAAAATGAAGAACAGATTCACATGGGTCTCCCTGTGCAGCAGCGTGAAAGTTGTCTTTAAAAGGGACCATACCTGGAGAACCACCTCCCTTCAGAGGGTCAGGGGAGGAAGCCTACAGCGCCTCCCCCAGATCAGACCAGGATCCAACAGAAGCTGAACAAGCTGCTCTTTCCAAGAGGCCCTGGGGCACAGCGCCACCACCTCACCTCCAGGTGGGAATGGATAGGCTCTTCTCAAATGGCCCACAGGAAAAAAGCAAGACCTCCCTCTACCAATCTCTGCCAGATATATGAATGTACAATCTGACTTGTACTTTCCGTGTTTTCCTATTCTACATATTTCAAAATGCAGACATCTGTTCATAACACCATTAGGAAACTTGTGAAAAAAAAAAAGGCAAGCAAAACAAAACCTTGATTTCCTAAACTTTAAAAGTGCTACACAAATAACTTTCCTATCAATATTTTTAAAAAATAAACATATAAACAGAAAGAAAGGAACCATTCCAGAAACATTTGCACAATGTGAGCAAAACCTTCTAACAAGCTCTCTGACCAAAAGGCAACTGACAACTACAAAATGGTCCTAAACTCAAAAGGTTTACCTCATAAGGGTTGGTCCTAATGCAGGGAATTTACAGAACTGGGTGGCAATCAAACGTGGGAAGTACAGCAAAATCTGTTTGTCCCGTACAGGGTTATCCCCCAGCCAGATGCGGTTCTTCCCGCACTGGCCAAGAAATAGAGAAATGTCCCCACCAAGACCAGCGGTCAAGGGAAAACTTCATAGTGAAGACTGGGCCCTGCAGGTGCCAGGTGCTGGAAAGCCCAGGTCCGCCACCCACTCAGGTGTGGGGGCCACGCTGCCCCACGCGGCCGCGCACACTCACTCGTCGCCGTCGGGGCACAAGCCGCTGGCCTCGTCGTACTTGGAGCAGTACACGTCCGGGCTGTAGTTAAAAGTGCCGTCGCGCCTGCGGAGCGGTCTGCGCCGACGCTGATTTAGGAAATGCCAATGGAAACAGGTAAATGGCCTGTGCTGGGTGCACTTGTGCTGCACAAACAGGGAGCACTGCTCTGTCCTAAACTCCTTTAGATACCTAAAAAGACAAACAGCATTGGGGTCGCTTCCGTCGCCACCGCCGCCGGCGGGCGGCCCGAGGACTCGTGGGCAGGGGTCAGATCCCGTGCGCCCGAGGGCCCCGACCCCAGGCGCGATCCCCCACTCTGCCGACCCCCTTCCCGCCTCTCCCCGCCCAGGTGCGTTTCTCAGACCCCAGGCACGATCCCACATCCCCGACCCCAGATGCGACCTTCGACCCCAGGTGCAAACCTCCATCCTCTATCCCAGGCATGGTCCCAGATTCCAGGTGCGACCCCGGACCCCAGGCGCAGCCCCCCATCTCCAATCGCAGGCACAATCCCCTAACCCAGGTGAAACTCCCCATCCCAGACCCCAAGTGCGACCCCCGACCCCAGGCGCCGCTATCCATCCCAGACCCCAGGTGTGATCCCCAAGCTCAGGTGCAACCTCTCACTCCGAGTTCAGACACCCTACCCACCCCCCCGCCCCCGCAAGCCCAGTCGCGTTCCTCGGGTCCCAGGAATGGTTTGCCAGTCCCAGACACGGTCCCCGACCCCAGGCGCGACCCCGCAGAATCCAGGCGCGGACTCCTGGCCCCAGGCGCAGCGCCCCCCATCTCCGATCTCAGGCGTGACACCCACTCCGACTACAGACGATCCCTGACGGCCTCCCCCCCGCGGAGCCCGGGCGAGCTCCCGGACCTCAGGCGCGATCCCTCAGACCCCATGCACAGCCTCCTCATGCAAAACACAGACGCGACCCCCAATTTCAGGTGCGATACCCCGACTCCAGGAGCGCCCGGGTCCCCAAGCCCCGGAACCATCTCTGACCCCAGGAGGAGGCAGCCGCAGTCCAGATGGCCGCCCTCCGCCCAAGCCCAGGCGCGGTCCCCAATCCCCGACTACAGGCGAATTCTCGGCGTCCCACGACCCCAGGCGCTGTTCACCGATCCCCAACCCAGGCGCGTGGACCCCCGACCTCGTCCTCCAGCCCCCAAGCCCAGGTGCCACCCCAGACCCTGGGCGCCGCCTCCTGAGCTCAGGCGGCAGTAGCTGAGTAGGATGGTGGTCCACCAGCCCAGAGTCCAGGCGCGGCGCGGAGGCTGGAGGGCCGGCTGGCCAGGGGGCTGCAAGGGAGAGGCAGGGGGCGGGGGGAACGGGGAGAGGGGCGGCGCGGGGCCCCAGGCCGCACCCGGAGGCAGCTCCCAGGCCCAGGGGCGCGGGGGCGCGGGCCGGGGACGCGCGGGGCCGCCCCCTGCCCCACCCCCGCTCCCGCCGCGGCTGGCCCGGGCACTGACCTGTAGTGGGTCGGCTTCTCGGTCTGCGGGGGGGACCCACTCAACGCCGCCGCCGCCGCTTTCGAAACCGACGGCATTTTCAGTCAAAACAATACAGCGCGCATGCGCCGCGCGGGCCCGCCCCCGCCCCTCCGGATCTCCCCCCTCGCGGAGCCCCCCCGCGCCCCCCGCCGGGACGGCCACGCCCCCGCCACGCCCCCATCCGGCGCCCGGCGCAGTGCCGGAGGCCCAGTGAACTTCCCAGCACCAGGCGCCAAGCGGCGACCCGCGCGCCACGCCATGCTCCGAGACCGCCGCCTCGGCCGGACGCCTCCACCCACCGTGCCCCCCCGGCGTCCACGTTCACAGCCCATCTTGCACTTGCTTGGTCCCGTTTCCCGCTGCCGCCTTCAACCCACCACGGCTGCCCCACGCGCTCTGAACGCCCTGACAGCGCCCTGGGCAGCTCCAGGCTCCGAGACGGAGCCGACAGGTCCGGAGTAGACAGCGCGCCCAGGCTGCTCACACTCGCCTTCATTCGTTCTATGACCCCCGGGTTGGATGCTGACACTGCAAAGAGTGGCTCCAGTTGCTTAGGGCTTGGTGTGGGGGAGAGAGGGGGAAAGGAGGCCTGACTGCTCATGGGTAGCGGGTTTCTTTTAGGAGTACGCACAGGCCCTAAAATTACATCGTGGTAATGGTTGCCCCTACGAATACACTAAAAAATCAATTGTATACTTTAAATGGGTGAATTGAATAATATGTGAACTACATATCAATAGAGCTGATTTTTAAAAAAGAAGCCAAAGGCTCGAGGTCAAGGGGGAGACAGACCGACACACACACACACACACACACACCCACACACACACACACACACACACACACACACACACACACACACACACACACACACACACGCCCTCTTTACCAACAGGGTGGGCGGGGATGCACAGAGGGTGGGAACTCCGGGAGGCAGGCACCAGCTGCCACCCCCCGGTAAGCCCTACCACTCAGGGCCCCAGCTCATCTGACCCTGGAGGAGGAAGCAGGGTGTGCATTTCGGGAGGGAGAACCCAGACCCAGAGTACACTGTTTTGTAAATATATAGCATGAAACATTTTTTTTTTTTGGCCGGGCTGCGCTGTTTGAGATCTCAGAGTTCTAACCACTGGACCACCAGGGAATTCCTGAGACATTATTTAAAATTTTCAACCTCGCTAGTAATTTCTTTTAATGCAAATTAAAACAAGGAAGAGCCCATGGAGCAGGCAGACTTTTTATTGTTCTTAACAGCAACCCACAATGCTGGTGACCTGCAGCAAGAAAAGCCCTTAAAGGAAATGTGGCTGGGAGGACGAATGGGTACTGACCTTTATAGAAAATAATCTGTTCCATTTCTAGAAACTCCAACCTAAAAAAGAATGAGATTCAGACAAAGATGTACAAAGATAATTATCGAAGTTATTTGGCAAAAACTTAAAGAGCACCTCACAGAGAATGACAATGCTTCCTGAGAATTGTTAATGACAAGAAAAATGCTCTTACTTAAGTGACAAAACAAAGTAAGATACTGCAGTTCCATACATTTGTTCCCAAGCATGTAAGTTTCTGGGTTTTTTTAAACACAAGTAATACAGTAAAATAAGCCATCACTTGCTGGTGGGATGAATGACTACTTTCTTTATATGTTCACATTGTCTAAAGGAATTACTACCTCTACAAACATTACATTTAAACCTGGAAATTAAAATGGCAAAAAATCAACATGATATTTTTGAAGAAAATCAAACAGAAGAATGAAACAAGGCCCATGAATTCTTTGGGGGAGGACTAAACAGACCTTGAAGACTGCCAGGATGCAGGGAATGAGAAAGAAGTTTAGGATATTTCCAAAGTCCCGAGCTGGGAGGGATACAGAGCAAAGAAACAGGTTTGGGGAGAGCTGAACTCTGTTTTGGACCTAAGGAGCTTGAGGAACCTGTAAAGTCCAGTAGAGAAGTATAGAGAGCCACCTCGAGCTTAAAAAAGGAAGTTGGGGGCTCAAGATAAAGAAATTTGGGGATCTTTGCTGTAGAGGTGGGAGAAAAGGTGCCTACCCAAGAGGCACCTTCCTTGAAGAGAGCAAAGAGAACTGTGACAGGCTGTGAAGATTGGCATTTTTCACGCTTTTGAAGAATGTTCTTAAAAGGCTGGGGTAGTACCCAGACGTTAAAATTTTAAAAAATCCAAGGAAAAGAGGTTACCTAAGTCGATGGCCTCATATCCTCCAAGCCTCAGCAGCTTGGAAGATATGAGGCCATCGACTTACGTAACCTCTTTTCCTTGGATTTTTTAAAATACAATTTTCTGCATCTTCTGCCCAACAGTGCTCACAGCAGTTACCTCTAGGTGGTGGGATTATTACTGTTTCTGATTCTCTACCTTTTGCTTATTACACTGTTTAACTTTTCCAGATAAATCATATTGTTGTGGTCATGTGAAAATTATTTTTAATTAAATAAATTTTTTTCCTGCAGGAGCTAGTGAGAGTAAAGTCACGGTTCAGGTTTGAATGACTGTTGCTCAAATAAAATGGTTCACAACCAAATAGGTCACAACCACACCAGGTCAGAGAAAGGACATCTTAGTTCTTTGCTCCCAGTGGAACTAACGATGTAGCCTGAGCCATGATTAGGTCAATCCTTCTGAATCTTGGTCTCTTCATCTTTAAAAAAATGAATATACTTGTCTTAGCACCACCTCCCTGACAAGCATAATTTACCAAGGCGGGCCAGACCTTGGCCAAGGCCTTGTGAGAAGCCAGTACACTGCCATACAGTCAGTGGTCTTCAACCATCCAAGTGAGAGAAATTTCCAGTTAACTTTGGCACCAAAGATATGCCAAGATAAAACGTTCCACCAGAACCTTAAGTAAATAAAATCTTCCCTTTTATGCATCTTGTATTTAATCCAGAACTAAGAAAGTTTCCTACTAAGCAGTACTTGAAAACATATCATTTACATACCCCAAATATTGCCTCTAAGTTGTCCATAAAAATATTTATCAATGTTATTCCACTCAGAAAGTTGTTGCCTTGCTAAAATAAAAAACTGGAAGAGAGGTGAGAAAGTGTTCCACAATTAACGTTTAGGTTTCTTTCCTCAGTTCCTATTCTGGAAAAAACAAACAAACAAACAAAGGAACTGAAAACACTAGAAGGCTCCCTTTTAAAAATGAAATTCAAAAAAAACAAAACAAAACAAAAAAACATTGGCTTAATTCCACATTACCAAATTAATATTTATTGTTAGTCTGTTAAACTAACATCAATTTATACACATCACGGTACACTGTAAAACAAAACGTTTAACTCTTCTGCCAGTTATTCTGTCTCAGAAAGCAAATGACCTGCAAAGTGGATCACACTGGATTACAAGTGTGATTACAAGTGTGATTACCAGCATCCCTTTGGAAACGTGATAATGTTGTACAAAGACATCCCAAATCCAACAGCACACGCTGCAACCAAAACCCTTTCTATAGACCTGAAAAGTCTTTTGGACGTATTCGATGGCAACAAGTATCAGGCAAAGAGCCGGTTCCGATTTGCTGACGTTCTGCTTTGCCTTCAACGAGTCAGCTTTGCCAGGCGCGCCATCCAAGTCCTTCAGTCTAGGGACGCGCATAACCAGGACAGAAACGGTCAAACGCGACGTCAAAGCCTAAAGACTGAGGTCTGTTCCCTCGCTGCTGGCACCCCATTAAGTTCTCGCCCCATGGGCCACCGGAGTTCCAGGCTCTTCAGAACGATCGCTGGGCTCCGGTACCTCTTCTTCCAACATCCGTCCCAACCACCGGTCCGCGCTGGTCTCCTGTCTAAAGAAGCACCAGATGACCAGAACCATGAGGCACAGGCTGAAGGGCAGCACCCTCCACCAGGGCCGCTGCTGCTCACTTCCTAGGGAGTGCTTCACTGTCCAGCGGAACGGGATGGCTTTGCTGGAGGAAAACTGAAGGGGGCGGTTAAGGTCATCCTCTTCCTCACCCTCGGCCGCGGGATGGGCACGAGCCCAGCCACCGGGCGGAGGATGCAGGCTTCGGAAAGGCCAGCGCACGAGCCTCAGTACCCGGAGGGCCCTGGAAGACAGAGAACAGTGAGCGCGCCCGCCCGCCGTTCTCACCCTAGGTCCCGCCGAGACCGCGCGGACCTCACCCAGCAGCCGGCGTACAGAGCACGCAGCTCATCGCGACCCCGGCTCCGCACTCGGCGCCGCCGCGCGCAGCGTCGCGTCACTTCCGTCGCGCGAAGCCGGAAGCCGCGCGCTGTTCCTGGCCTCCGCTCACGACTACAGAACGTGGACCCACTCGCGCAACGGAAATGACTCACGTCCTCAGGCGGCCTCTTCCGTCGCAGGCCCGCCCACGGCCGGCCGCGCGGGCATGCCGGGAAATGTAGTTCGCCGCCGGCCCGAAGAGGAACTAGCGGGCAGGTTCCTAGGCTTCCGCGCCGGGCTTGAGGCCGGCCGGCGGGGACGGGATGCTGGCGTCGTCCTCCGACGAGCTCGCCTCAGCGCGGGTCTCACCGTCGGCCGGGCTCGCCTGAGATCGGGGCCCTGAGCCCACACTCCACACCCCTCCCGCCAGGCAGGCGCAGCCCCTGGACGCCTCCTCCCCGCGGCCTGGCGACGCCGTTTTGCTCTTTTCTTTGGACTTTCAGCCACGGAGTCATCTTGTCCCCTCGACTAGTGTCCGCCGCCCCATGGCCGCGGACCTTCACTCAGCCCTGGCGCTTTGCATTGCTCTGTGCTGCGCACGAATAGCCGCGTCTACACCACCCGCCCTGCGGGACACGCATTTCTGCGCACTGCTCAGCCGCAGGGCCGCCATCTCTCACCCACCGCAGCAGAGCACGCCCACGAAGCTGTCACCGGGAAGCCAGCAGGCACTCGGACAAGTCTTTCTCTCCAGGCCAGCGGAACCACCAGTGCAGAGCCTAGCGCGCCATCATCTTTGTGGATGGAGGCTGCAGCCTGCTCGGGGGGAACCTTCCCATCCACCTTAGGAGTCAGGCCGGGAGGGTCACCCTCGGGCTGTCCTGGGACTTCCTGTCTACCCGGTTCCCCAGTTGACTTCATAGGGAAGCTGCTGGAGCCTTCTGCCCTGGCTCTGCTGAGCCGTCCTGTCTGGAGACCACATAGGAGCACCCAGGCGTCATCACAGACTCTGTGGAGACATGGGGATGTGCTGGCGGGGGGATGGGTTGACGGTGACAAAATCAGGTTACGAGGCCACCTTGTGAACTGTAACGACTTAAAAAAAAAAAAAAAAAAAAAAAAAAAAAAAAAAAAAAAAAAAAAAAAAAAAAAAAAAAAAAAAAAAAAAAAAAAAAAAAAAAGCACAACGTGAGAGTTTTTCTGCCAGTTTTTGCCAGAGCACAGAGGGCCTCATTCCTGATCTCTGCCCTGAACTCCTTTAAGGGTGTGTTGAAGGTCAGTGACTGCAGTGGCAGGTGACTTCATTCTTGTAGAACCAGGTGACAAGTGACAATTTTTAGTTGGCAGCTGTAATGTGCTGCCTCCTGGTTCAGAATCTTTGCCTCTGGAGCATCTCCTGCACCTGCTTTCTGGCAGGAGAAGCACCAGCCTCGGGGACCAGTTCTTCACCCCTCAGGAAGTCTAGAGACACTTAAGCAAGGGTGGGGGGCTGGAGGTGTTCCTAGCTCAGCAGCATCTGGGAGATCTCCCCACCCTGGGAAGACCAAATCTGGATGCCTGGTGGCAGCTCAGCTGCAAAGCCAGGACTGTATTCAGAGCTGCTGTGTCAACAGAGGCACCTGTGTGCCCACATCCTCCTCACTGGGCCCCACCCCACCTGTTCCACCCCAGAACCCTACCCAGAATCACTGCCAAACCAATTCGACCACAGGGAACCCCAGGAGCATCTACTGTGCGTGGGAGGATGGACCAGAATCATTCTGGTGTGCAGTCTGTAGGGCTTCCTGGAGGAGGTGGAGATCAAAGAGGCCTGAGGTTGGGGTGGAGCTGCTGACTGCAGCTGATGCAGCCACCTGGTTGGTATGCTAATTTAGGGCATCTGGGTACAAGCTGCCCTGGGACAGCAGAGGGGGTGCAGAGCTGGGGGTCAACGGCAGGGGCTAGGGCTTCACCCCCAGGCAGGGCAGCCTCCAAAAGGTCACTAAACCTGTCCCACTGCTTTGGATGGGTGACAGAAATAAGACACCTCAGACAAGCACCCCTCGAGCCTCTGCTTCCTCAGCTGTAAAATGGGCATCTCCTGTCCTTCGCAGGCTGCTTCCAGGACTGGTGCTATGCCTGGGAAGCCCTCTGCCAGTCCCTGGGACAGCTGTTAAGACTGATAAGGGGACGGCATGGAAGTGTCCTTCCATCCTGAGGCAGTGGAAGGCTCCTTTACTGCCATCAGGCTCCTAGGGTGCTCTGAGGCCAGAGTCTGGGAGGAGCAGCACAGGCCCACAACAAAGACTTAGCAAATCCACATGTCCAGTGGACCTCTCCTTTGTCCCCAAGTCTTGCTGGCACTGGTCTCCATTCTAGGTGAAGGCATGATGCAAAGGACGTGGGTCCTGCAGAGTCTGAGGAGGACAGCAGGCCTTGATCTCCGGGAGCTGGCTTGATGCTCAGAGCTGGGCTCTCCTGTAGGACGTATACAATTTCAGAGAACATCGGTGTTGGACCAGGCCTCTCCGTGACCATGGTGGCTCAAGACCCCTTTATAATCACATCTGAACACAGGCAAAACATGGAAGTGGCCCAAAAAAGACCAAATACCCTCTTCCTGGCTGATGGGAGGGACCCTGGTCCTTTACCAACCATGGCTGGAGGCTTGCCTCATCTGCCCTCCTTCTGGATAAGATGTAATAAAGATGCTATACTGGGTGGAATGATGTCCCTCCAAATTCTTATCCCCCTGGAGCCTCAGCACATGACCCTATTTGGAAATAGGGTCTTTGCGGATGTAATTAGTTAAAACTATGTCATAATGGATAGAGTGGGCCTTAAATGATGTCCTTATAAGAGGAAAAAAGACCCAGAGACGCACAGGGGAGCAGGCCATGTGAAGAGGCAGGCAGAGACTGGAGTGATGCGGCCACCAGCCAAGGAACACGGAGGACTGCCAGCTATACCAGAAGCTAAGATTCTCCCCCCGAGCCTTCGTGGTTTCATATTTCTGGCCTCCAGAACTGTGAGAAAGTAACTTCTGTTGTTTTAAACCACCAGTTGGTGGTCCTTTGTTATGGCAGCCCCTGAAGACTGATACAGATGCCCAGTCACAGTTACCCTGCTTGCTGACAGCACACAGCCCAGAGCAGAGCCCCTCACCCAACAATGGCTGAACGCCCGCCTCCTGAGACACCCATGTTCCGGGCTGTGAATTCTCCCTTGTGAAGTCCACCTTGTTCAGTGACACATGTGTCCCTGGCAACCTCTGGCTGGAGGGCAACAACAGCCCCAAATGCTGTAGTTTGCTTGACCCTCTGATGCGGTGGAGCCCAGAGTGGGAAAAGCCACAGCCAGATGCGGCCGGTGGCCCGGTGTCTCCAGGGCCCTCCCCTTCCTGACCCCAGCAGTCTCGGCAGGGCACTGGGTGACAGGTGCCCAACACTGCCAGCGATGCCGCTCTTGTCCAAGGTCCCCCTCCTCCCAGAGGCATAAACCAACACCTCAGGCTTCATTATCTCAAAGCACACAGAGAAACCTCACACGAGGACTAATGTCCCACTAATGGGAGGGAGGCTGCAGCCCTTGTGTGCCCGATGGCGGGAGTAATTTACTGTAGCGCCACTTGAGAGCTGACATATTGGAGCTATTGATTTTCCCTGGGAAGATCAATATGGGGTGCATGGGGACAGGCAGGGCCACCACCTTTGGAAAGGCAGAGCCTTTCTCCCAGGGGCTGAGGCCTGACAGCAGGGGTGGGGGCTGGTGGGGGCAGGGTGGGCACAGAGCTCTGAAGGCCCTATGCTGCCCACAATGGGGGCCTGGCTGGGAGCAGATGCCAGGGCATATGCTCAGGCCCCAAGCCTGGCAGCCTGAGTGCCTCAGCCCCCAGCCCCAGCCAGGAGCCCCCATGGGCACAGGGGGCTTGGGACACCCATGCCACTTGGCCTGGCACTGGCTGGCCACCCAATACCGGCGGGACATGTGTGGGCAGTGATTCTGGGAAAGTGCGTCTCTCCACCTACCCAGGGTCCCCCTGGCTGCCATAACCCAGCCCAGCCTCACCTGTAACAAAAGCTGGAGTTCAGCCTCCACCCAACAGACTCCTGTGTCTATCTTGAGCATGGCTCTGACTCAGGAGGGGCAAGGAAGGGGATAATTCCACTAAGACCCAAGATCTGCTTCTTGAATCCCTCTCACGCCTGTCTCCCACCCTCACCTCCACATACTGTGCCTTGTTAGGCCCCAGCGTTGATCGCTAGGACTGGTGCAGTGGCACCCTCCCCAAGTCTCCGGTCTCAGGCCTCCTGTGTCCAGAGGCCCACCCCACACTGTGCTGCTGAAGTTCCTCTCCCCAAACACCTGCCTGCTCTGGGTTCTCCCCGACTCTAGAACTCTCCATCCTAGACTGGGGTTTCCTCCTTGTCTCTGGTCAGGCAGAAAAAGGCACTGGGATTCTGCCACCAGAGGATAAGTGTCTGGCTGTCTGTGGACAGTCTTCCCACAGCTGGCACGAATGGACACCTCACTGGGTCACTCTTGAGACCCAGAGCCCCTTCCACAGCCCCAGTTCCACTGACTGGGAGCCTGAGGCAGAGGCCAGGATGGAAAAGTGGGCCTGTGGGGTGGGGGGTGAAAACCACCCTGGGGCCTCTTTCCTGCAAAAGCCCCACTGCCACTCTGCGATTTGGTTCCAGTGATGCTGGGAAGAGCTGAGGCCCTAGCCAACTTGGCTCCCAGTACAGGAGGAAGGTCCGAGCTCCAGGGCCAGGCCAGGAGGTCCTGTGTGCCACCCACCCCACTTTCCAGCCAATGCTTCCAGCTCTGGGCTTCCTGTTGCTGCTGAAACAGGGAGCACAAACTGAGTGGCTTAAAACAACACTGATTTGTTGTGCAGTCCCAGAGGTCCGAGGTCCCAAGTGGGTTTCCCTGGCCCCAAATCAAGGTGTCTGCAGGGTTGTGCCCCGAAGGCTCCAGGGGAGAATCTCGTTTCCCGGATTTTAGAGACCACTCCATTCCTTGGATTGCAGCCCCTCCACCTTCAAAGGT